TAGGAGTAAGTTTTTCCCTGTCCTCAGGTCACTCCCTCCGAGAGCCCTCTGTATTAACCAGGTAAATGGAGTAATTCGAAGGCAAAATTAGCATAAAAAACCATAGTTTATCAGTTGGTATGACAAATGTCAAAGTAGAACAAATCGATAGGTTATTATTATTATTTTTTTGCAAACAAAGTCGTTTCAAGAGCTTGCAAAATGCAGAGATTTAACGAGGTTGTAAAATATTCTGTGACATCAACTTATTTGGCAGAATCCTGCCTCGGTTTAAAAATAATTGATTCACAGAGCATGTTCTTGCATATCGAATTAGTGGGAGACATGAACATCATATGAAGTGCTTGTGTGGTAAGTCATAAACAAGGTAGATAAAAAAAATTGAAGTCATTCGATTTGCCATTCCATATAGTTGCTAGTTTCTCATTTTATAGTCAGGAAAACATTTCAATGGGAAGCCTATGTGGCAGTTTCTGTGATGCAACAAAATGAAAGTCTGATTAATGTCAGATTAATGTTTATATTTATTTACTGTGTGAATATTCATGCTCAAAATTTAAGTACATAATATTTCAGGCTGTCAAATGTTTCATTATATTTATTCAATTGACATTCATTTAAGGACAGCTGACACAAACAATTTTTTTCTTTGGAGGGGATTTAATATCATGTCACAGGTGAATTTTGTGAGGAAAAGCAAAATGGTAAAAATCACCTGATTTTATTGAAGTATCAACTAATATTTTCCAAGTGTCATTTCTTTTATGCAAATACAACAAGTTCACTCTGTGCTCCTTTAAAAACTTTTTTTTTTGAAGGAAAAAAGAGGGTAAATGAATGAAGATTAAACAATTTTACCATGAGGACTCTAGTTGTGTACTTTTTGGGGGAAATATGGAAGGTATTTCATTCTCCAAGTCTAAGGAGAAAAAAATCAAAGAATTATGCACTTTTCTAAAACTATGACATGATATTAAGTCTGCTCCAAAGAAAAAAATTGTTTGTTTCATCTGTTCTTAAGTAAAAAACAAATAAGATTACGCTCTTTTGATACACTTTCTGGTTCTAATTATACGCTATTTTTATTGGCGGGTAAATGAAAATTGCGTAATTTATAATAAAATTGAATCATTCCCATGGCTGATTGAAATCTATAAAATGATTGAAACGGATACAATACAAAAAACAACATTCTTGCAAAATTACTTGGTATGTCAGCTTCTATAAAAGAAAGATAAAAGAAAGAATCCTTTACCCAATATAATAAATTGTAGACAACAAGAATTATGACGATAATTCTGATCTTATTCAATATTTTAGGACTTGCACTGCGAATTTCAACGAATCTTAAAAATGATATAAATATTGTCTGATAAAGTATATATATATTATTAAACCAAGTGTGGAAAGTTTTAAGGAAAGGATCTTCGTCATTTTGAAGAAGAAAATTAACTACTCCAGAGGCAATTACAGCAGCGGAGCACAAAATCAACGAAAGATCATTGAAATTTAAATAAATTAATCGGATGTCAATCTCAATACTCTTGTATAAAATGTAGAATGCAATAGTTATTAAAATAAATATTATAACCTTTGCACAAACAACACTTGTGACCCATGAATAAACTACTGAGATCAGAAATTCCCTATGAAATGGAAAGATCACAATATAAAAAATAAACGGAGCATTTACGCTGAAAACCAGAGCAATAGTGTAAAGTTTTTGTTTCGCAGAGAACGATAACTTTTTCTGCATTTCTGTTGCTTTTTCATATGTTTGACATAGCGACATACTCAAACAACTAACGTCCCTCACTTTATGAACAAAAGGTATGCCGATCATTATAGTTGTAGCAAGAATGCTGAATTCCATGGCGGAAGGTAAAAGTAACATATCCGTGTGTTGAAAAATGGATTCATAATTCTTGTCCTTCATAATCGTGCAATTCCAAAGTTCACTTATATATGTTATGTTCGAATCTGTCAAAAGAGAAATGCTGAGCACACTTGCTTCCAGCCAGTTTATCATATTAGTCACAACAAGCAGTGTCATAACATATTTCAGCTTTCGGGTTTCCAAGAAAATATACCGATTACACCAAGATATGAAAAGTAATTGCATAACAGTAAAAAGCAAAGAAACAGTTTTATTCAGGTTTGTTGATAACTGTGCGACTTCACTGGCACAGTGCTGGTAAACATTATTGTCTATCAGGCGAAGAATGCATAATATTACACCAAGAACCCAAAAAACAAACACTCTGGTGTTAGCAACCACGGATTTGTATTCTTTGGTAATCCATTCTCTCTTACTTCTACAAATAGCAAGCATTGCGTAAAGAATTGTGAGTGATCCTACCAACTGTATTGAAGAGGAAATTGTATTCACAATGGAGTCAACACTGCCTCTTTCTAGTTGAGATGAAATGATGGGCATAAAAAGTCCGCCTAAAAGTCCTGATCCCAAAAGAGTATGTTCATAATTCCATGCACTACGTCTAGAATTCTGCATCATCGGATATCTGTTATAAACCGAATAACTTAGGTTGTTGATTATGACGAAAAACTTGCACACTGTCTCATTTAATCAGGAATACGATGGTATCAGTTCTTTAACCGTTTATTTAATAATGTCGATGTTAAAAACTTTTTTGATATTTTTCCCCTGGATACAATGAAAGGAAATAGATACTGTTAACCATCTCGATGTTCGTTCTATAAATATTATCAAATTATAAGAGATATCCCCATAAATTTTTAAACAATTTGAGATTAGTTCCGTATAATTTTCCTTTTGAATAATTAATGACAAATATGATTTTTTTTTCCTTAAGAGTTTTAGGAAATAAAATAATGAAAGCTATTTTTTGCACAGAAGCAGTTGGGAAGTTCATTAACTTGACTCAAGTAGACAATAAGCTTTCACTTTTAAAAAAAACATGAATAAAGTGAAAACATTTTACCTTCCTTGGAAATATCACGTAATGCCAGTTCTGCAAAAAGGGGTAGAAAAGATATATGCACGGAATTTAGATCTAGTTTTCGTTGATTTTAGAGATTTCATATCATAATATATTCATAATATACACATTCTTTTGGAATGGAAAAGTGATGTTAAATATAGCAATCAAATACTTAATGCCATAAAAACAGGGGATGGCTACATATATACACTAGGTGAGACAAGTTACTTTCCATGATGTATAAGCAATTCCACTGTTTTTCTGCCCTACCACTAAAATTTTTTTTACAGTAATAAAGATGGATTTTTCAATGTACAGTATTTAGCTTCATTTCATTCCCATACTTCTGAGGCGTATAAAAGTACACTACTTACATGACTTACATAAGTATCAAAGACAGATAACTGTGTTTTGACATTGAAAATATCTGATTTTGAAGAGTTTGAAGTGTCAGATACAGTTGAACTGCTCTATCTCAAACACTTATATCTCGAATACCATGAATATGTGTAAAAGGAATTTTGGCAGTCCCACTTCTTCTTCTTTTAAGTATTTAACCCTCGATATCTCGATTTCTCGAATATCTCGAAGATTTATCTCGGTCCCATCGAATTTGATATATCGAGTTTTGAGTACCTTGAGATTGGGCGTCAGAAAGTAAGAAAGGCCACACAGTCAATTAGGAAAGTTTCTGAATCTCAAAGTAACTTCAGTAGTCTTATCTGACAACACATACATATACAATGTACCTATCTTCTCATTTTCTTCGTTTTACTTTCCAAAATCCTAACGTCGCGCTATGTTTTGTTTTTGCTAACAAACAGCTTTTTCCCAGTGTCTTTATTTGTTTAATGGCATCATCTACTGTTGCATAGGAAACAGAACACAAGTCATCAGGGATGAAATCATTTATAGAGGCTCCATCTGGATAGGACAAGTGATGAATTAGCCGAAATTCGTTTATTTCTTTTTTAGGGACAATTCCAATAGGGGAACACTGAAGATTTGTGAAAGGGGGTGAACTGAAGGGTCCAGCAATCCTACCAAGGGCACTTTCTTTCTCTAATTTACTTGAAACTATATTTTCATGTTGCTGAACCGAAAGTAAATTCTTACAAAAACGTTGTTGCCTTGGATCCTCATATTGTATCTTGAAGCCTTCCTGAAACCCCTTGCTTAGATATATTTTCAAATTGTCATCATACCCTTCAAGAAATTGTCTTAACATGGATACCTTAACTGGTGTTACTACATTTTTATTTGTTTGTGCTTGGGGGGATTGATGGCTGTTTAGCTTGGGGTGCAGTACTGGTGCCTTTTGCAGTTGATTTGTCTCCCCATGTGCAGTATAAGACTGAGTGTGTTTTTCTACACTGAAAGCAGATGTGTTTATATTGACATTGTTGGTTAGAGCATCTTCCACTTTTGTGGTATGCATAGCAGAATCCTGGGGGGTTTTACTTTTGTATGAAACCCTTTGCTGGCCATGTTTCCCACGAAAATTGAATTTGGTTTGGGGTTGACGAAAAGTGGTGGCCATTACCCAATACTCATAATGAAGTTGCCCCCAAGGAATTGACCTCACTTCAATGTCCTTCCTCACCTGCTTATCATATGTAAGCCATGTCGAACCCGAACTTCTACTAGCCAACTCTCGAACAATCTCCCCATGTTTGATAACAGCTGGAATTTGCTTTGGGTATTTTTCAGAATATACTGCCAAAAATTTTAGAAATGCTGTTGTCCACTGCTCAATTGTTTTGATAGACTTTTTTGGTTTTGATGCAACAAATTTATATTCAGAGTTTCCAGCGCTTTGTAGTCGCAATGATTTATCCGAAGTGAGATCATCCCTTGGAAGCAACTTGACAAAATCAACATATTTATTCTGCCAAATTTTGTTTTTCAATTTTAAATCTATTTGTGAAGTTGTAGGATCTGATAATAATTCACAGTCATCTGACTCGCTCTCGGATGAAGAAGAACTATCTGAATCGGAATCATCTGACGATTCATCACTATCATCAAAATCATTACCTGAAGAGCTTGGCGTTCTCGGTTTTTTATGTTTGGAACTTTTTTGACCTTTGCTCCTTTTAGTACCCCTTTTCTCCTCTTTGGAAAGGGCCTGTAGCACCTGCTCGGTCACTGCTGCTACCAATTGCGGCTGTATAGGTGGGACCTGAAGCTGCACTGCATTCTGGGAGCTACCATCTACTTCCTCATTCATCACTACCCTTTGTGTAGCTGATCCAGCTGCGGCAGGAGGAACAGTCCTATTTCTTCGCCGACCTCTCCCACCCTGATTCATCTAAAATTATTTAATAAAATGAGAGTTCAAGAACATTAATATAGTTCATAAATGGGATTTCCTTTAAGAAAACCCAAACTAAGTAGTATCATGTGCAGAATTACACAGATATATAATAACCTTGACCATAGGTATAAAAAGAGTTAACAAACTCCTAAACCAAGTGGTCATTAAAAGTATCTGCATAAACCTTTGATAGCTATACAAATTGACCACTATCATATAGGAGTATAAATGAAGAACAAATACCTAAAACCAAATGGGTCATTCCAACAGAATTTGCACATGTAAACATCAATGTAAAATAACCCCAACCATATAGGGGTATTCATGGAAAACCCAAAGGGACCAAATAAATAGGTGTTTGCACAGAATATAAAATATCCCCAACCATATAGGGGTATTAATCCAAAAAAACAAACACCTTACCCAGTGAGTTATTCCATATTATAAGTATGTGCATAACAATGAAAAACACTGATGCAAATTAACCCCAACCATATAGGGGTATAGATGGAAGACCCAATGGAAAATAAACAAATAGGTATTTGCATACACAATAAAATAAACCCCAACCATATAGGGGTATAAAGACCTGAACCTAAAAGTTCAAAGGTCAAATAATAATAATAATGTGTATTAATAAAATAAACCCCAACCATATAGGGGTATAAAGACCTGAACCTAAAAGTTCAAAGGTCAAATAATGTGTATGAATAAAATAAACCCCAACCATATAGGGGTACATAGACCTGAACCTAAAAGTTCAAAGGTCAAATAATAATGTGTATTATTGGCAACTAGTGTTACCCCGTCCTATATAGAGGTAATACACTAACAAGTATCTGCCATACACACTAAATTATTCATCATATTTATAAACAATTCAGTTTATTATATAAAGTATGCATTATTAATAAACCCCACTTTATAGGGGGTATAGCATACAATCTGAAAAATTAACTTTACCCACCATTGTGCAGAGATTTTAGAGCAGAAACAACAACAGCTTTAATGTTATTGTAATATTTGATGTTTCCTTGCTTATTTAAATGGACACCATCATCAAGGTATACACCGGACTTAGTAGAGGGGTTCCAAAATCCTGAGAGACGGAAGAATTCAGCACCATCAACTTGCTTTGTGTAATCTGATATCCTCCTATTCAGTTCATCCACCCTGCTGTTGAACCAAGGCAAATTGACCTCGTAGCGTGTGCGCCTTAGGGGAGCAATTCTGTGCAATGTTTGTAAAATTACCACGGATTTTACTGATTCTCCATACCGTAGGTCCACAATAAATTCAACTAAATGTCTAAAAATAATGTCAACAGTTTTCTCAGGTTTGCACAAGTCATTAGAAGCGGCATGAATAATGACAACATCCGGGCTGTATTCCCTTACGTAAGCGAGTCCAAGAGCGCGAATCCTCTCTAGAGAAGCGCCACCATGTCCACTGTAACAAATCTGAACCTCATCCCTATTCAAATTCAAGTTTTCGTTCACCCGGCTGTCCAAATTGTTTAAAACAAAATGTTCAAATCTCCGCACAAAGGAATGACCAATAATAAGAACTTGTTTGGTCATAACAAATTTGTTGATGTTAGAAGGGAGGTAACGAGAACAGCCATTGGTCAGTCAGTTTATAATCTTTGTCTAAAATGGTAATATTCACATCTTACTCACTATACTCGATCTTATCAATACATCCACACTGAATATACGTTGAAATAACCAAATCAATCGTTATAACACAACGAAAATACGTTAAGTCCAAACAAATATCCTCAAAATCTTCTCCCTTCTAAAATTACAGTAAGCAAAGATCACGTGATCAGAAGTAATGGATTCTGTAAGATGAGAATCTAAACTGCAGGAATGACAAAATCCGGAAAATACAAAATTAATATTTTATGATAGAGATGGTATAAATTACTTTATGCTTCACATAAATACAATTATGAAAATAAAGCACATGATTGTGAATATTTTCAAAATCCATGGATACTACGAGGGTTGTCCGTTAAAATATTGTGCACAAGTTGTCTAGAGTGAAAATAAACATCACTGCGTTCTAAAAATTTTACTACTCTTTATTACCTTTTTGTATCAATATACATAGCAAATTTCAAATAGATATATGCATAAATAAACAAATTATGAGATTTTATGTTATGTATGGTATCGCCTCACGGCGCGCGGATGATAATGTCAAAGTGTTTAAAGCAGCGTCAAGTTTCCTCTTTGCTAAAAAAAAAAAACGTTGCCCTAGGTAAATTCGGGAATTTCATTGATGCACATACTTGAATTTCCCTGACATTTTAATATTTTTTTGATCACTGTAGTCATTTAAATTTTCTTAGGGCGTCATTGCAATATCTAAATCAAACTGAATTGCTCCCCGGTGCGCCGTAACGTCATCAAACGAAGCCATTTTTCATGTGTTGTTTACCACTTTCCCATTTCAAATGCTCGGGAAACTGCCAAAAATTAAGCAAATGCCTTGAAATTTTCCAACAGACGACATAATTGATAGTATATTAAAAATAGGATAATTTTACCCCAATCTTTTTAATACTTTTATTTCGAAATAATACTTGTGTATTCTCTAATGAAACCCTGGGTTTTGATCGTGCGCCTTCGGACCGTACCCTGTGCACATTCAAACATAATAAAATCTTTAATTTTGTCTATAATTTATGAAAAAAAAAATTAACGAGGTTCGCTCCTGAGCTTTTCAGCAGATTCTTATCTTAGCCTATATTTAAAAAATCTGCATAATGTTTTAGTTCTTACAATAAATTTGGATTCTACATTGCCAATTTAACTATATTCAGTTAAAACTCCATGATTAAATTCCATACCAAAAGCATTAAGTGAGGAACTATATTTTGTGGCGGAAGGTTTTTTTTTTTAAAGAAAATGATCATTTTTTTCTCTTTCGAAGTATTTAAAGTATGTTAAGTTTGGATTCCTATTTTTACATGCAGTCTGCACACATAGTTATTTTGTGCTGTGAACTTTTTTATACTGGTCCTAAATTATCTATTAAATAAACTGTCATGAATTCTATCACCATATTAGATAAATATAGCAAATATATTGTGGAAATTAAGAAAATAATAGCCCTAATTTAGGCTTAAAATTAGCATTATTTTAGTAATATCTAAAAATTAACACCACAGACCCCCACTTTTAGTTTTCTTTTCTGAATATATACGATACTTTTAACCATTCTTCTTAAATTCAGTAAAATGTCAATACTTTCAAATGATTTTTTTGCTTGTTAAATTTTAATGCCAGAAAAATGAAAATGTATGAATGCAAAAAAGGTCAAATAATTGAACATGCGGAGTAATTCGAAAATTTCTTCGTTGTTACAAGTTTTAATGTGTCTATTTAAGATGAAATAAGACTGTGTTTGTTCACCATAATTTATTTGAACAAAAAATATTGAAGGAAAAACTTTAAAAATTGATTTATGTGTAAGAGGTATTTACAGTGCAGAAAGGTCAAACTAAATGCTCTGTAGCGCCAAAAGAAGCGCATTGACCCCCATTTTTTGTTTTGATTTTTAATAAAGCTATGTGTATAAATTCTAAAAATATACTTGATAAAAAATTCTCATTACTTTTGATGGCAGGATCCAACCTCCTTAAGATGCACTTAAATATGATGAATAAAGATTTGCGGAAAATTTCAGCTTAGTGCGCCTATTATTTTTCGATAAAAACGCTTTGTCCATGATTTTACCGGACAACCCTCGTATATTCAAAAACACAACTACAAAGATTGATTGATTGATTGTATGTTGTTTTACGTCTCGATCATTCGAGAATTTTTCACTCATATAGAGACGTCACCTTATACCGGTGAAGGGCTTCAAATTTTGACCTTTACTCGGCACTCAGGGCCATTGAGCAGTGAGGGATCTTTATCGTGCCAACGCCTGCCGTGACACGGGGCCTCGGTTTTTAAGGTCTCATCCGAAGGACCCGCAACATTCACTTCAAAGTGCCGAGCGCATGGCGAAGGAACAGTTGCTACTCATTTTTTATCGACTTAGGTCAGTCGCGGCCGAGATTCGAACTCACGACCTCCCGATCACGGAGCGAGCGCTCTACCGACTGAGCTATCGTGAACGGTCAACTACAAAGAATATGTTAGACAGTCATATTTTAAAAAGAAATGGAAATGAAATTGCGAAATTTTTAGAATTTTTTTTTAAATTTTATCCAATCCTGATCGAAATTAAACTGATCCCAACCAGAATTTTATAATAATTGGAAGTAGATAATATTTTCACAATAATACAACTTTGTTTAGGTGTAATACGGATTAAAAGTAATTGAACTTGACATTCAAATAGATTACTGAGTGGTATATACATAAAAAAGGCAATAAATCATTATTTTATTCATTTAGTTTTAATTTTTTTTCGGGGTCAGTTTAATTTTGAACGGGATTAGTCTAAATATCAAAATAATTATTTTCCCTAAGAATTTCGCAATTTCATTTCAATTTTCTTTTTAAAATATGATTGGCTAACATGTTTTCCCTAGTTGTGACTAGTTTTATGAATATTTTATCCATAGGTTTAAAAAAAAAATATTGTGTTTTATTTTCATAAATAAATTTTTATATCAAACATTAAAAATATCTATCCAAAATTCCTTTTTCCGTTAATTTCTATGGTGAAAAATTTTCTCAAATTAAAGACTTATATCTCTTTGTTTTCCCAAATAGGTTGTGTTTTATGAAAATTTACATCAATTTCAATATCAATATGAAAATTTATTCAGATATGTGTGGCAGTTGGCATTAAGCAGTGAGCAGTTGGCAGTAAGCAGTGAGCAGTTGGCAGTAAGCAGTTGGCTGTTGTTATGGAATTCCATACCATCCAGCCTTTCTCTCCATATTTTATTAGACATTAATATCATGCATTTATTAACAACAAATCTTAAACCATTAAGCATCTTCTTTGCAAATAAAACATTTTTTTTATTTTCTTTGAAAAAATGCAAAAACAAATCGTATATGATAAAAGCTTATATCTGTCTTTCAATGCTGAAACCATAGTTTAAAGGGGATGTATTTAAGATCTATTAAATAAAATTCTGGTGTAGGATTCCACCTTAACTAAAGTAAATTCATAAATTGTTTTTTACCTGTTATAAAATTATAATTTAAACAATGAGTGAGTAGAAGAATAGCTATATATGCTACATGTACGTTATAACTTTTTTTTTCTATCTCGTAAATGTGCTCTGGAATTTGAAAAAAATGTCCGTAAATAGAAATGTTCATGTGAAATGAATACATTTTATAGAGTATGAATTTTAAAATAAGTTTCATAAAAAACATTACAAATGTTTATCACAAGCACATTGTAACTTTTGAACACTGAAAGAAAATGTGTTACCATGTTGTTGCCGTAATTTTCTAGACGACTTACATGTGATCCCATTATCAGCAACATTTATAGCCCCTCATTTATCTGCATGGTTTGTAATAAATGACTTGGTTATATGTCTTACTAATTGACTAATTCATTTGATCAGCTTTGATGACATTTTTGGTATTTATGCTTATTATTATTTAATTAGTATAATGGTGTAGACAATATCATATCTGTTTCTCGTGTTACTACTTCTATAAGTAATAAAGAGTCATAATTTTTACAATGGGACCAAATTGTGAGAAGGAAGAATTCAAAAATGTGGAAGATTGTTTGGTGAATATGTTTTGTTTCCTTATTTGTTGTTTAACGTCCCTCTAGAGATTTTTTCACTCATATGGAGACGCCACCACTTGCCGGTGGAGGGCTGCAAATTTATACCTTTACTCGCTACTCAGGGCCATTAAGCAGTGACGGATCTTTTTGCGTGCCAGCACCTACTGCGACAAGGGACCTCGGTTTATACGGTCTCATCCGAAGGACCGGTCACCACGTCCCATAGTGGATTCGAACCAGCGACGTAAGGATCAGCTCCTTACTCCATGACTCTAGAGCAGACGCTCTAACCACTGCGCCAAGCAGGCGACTATGGTAAGAAGAGATTTGGTAGTAAAGCTTTTCCCCATATATTCCAAATTAACTTAAAATACAAGTTGTGGTTTCTTCTTTGGCCCCGGGCACAACGCTCTGTACAAACATACATGTAACTTTCAGTGAACTCTACATGTAGCCTGCAAATAATTTTTCTGTTTCTGGATTAACCCCTACAAAAGAAGAAAATAAAGTATCTTCATGATATATTTATTTTTTTAAATTTTAAAAAGATACGGTAATTTTATGTTCAAGGGTAAATTGTCTTAATTACAGAATAAAATAAAAACAGTAATGAATTTTGATTTTGAAAGTTTAGAAACTGTTAAAAGGCGTAAGGTTATTTAGGGAGGTTTGATTGAGCATTCATATCGGGGAGATGAGCAAAGCCCTATGTAGATATGAATTCGATAATTGGTATGATAGAATTAAGGAAATATTCATACGATATTAGGTACTTTTACATCGACAATTAAGTCTGTGTATTTCCCGTAACTCTTTATGGAAGAACACACATTGCTAATTTAAAGTTCCTGCTTCCCTCGTCTAATATATTAATGTCAAATAACTGAGATATTTTCAATAAAAATTAGCTATCCAATTCAAATTTGACTCTCCCTTGATAAAATGTGTTTAAAAACAAATATGGGGTAACGAAATAATCCTTAACGATTGTTTTAAAACTGATTTATTTGTAAGTGGTTAATTAAAAAGATGAGGATATCGAACAATTTCATTAATCAAGGTAAAAATACTA